AGATCAAAAATCTCGACCCAATTGAACTTCTTTCACATCAAGCGTACAGTCCGGATCTTGCACCATCCGATTATCAACTTTTCCGCTCCATGGCACACTTCCATCGCGGACGAGCCTTCAACAATCTGGGCGAAGTCGAAAAAGGGTGCGGCGAGTTTTTCGCCTCTAAGAACAAGGAGTGGTACTGCCGCGGGATCGACCAACCTGCCGATAGATGGCTTCAAGTCATAGATTCGAATGGTCTTTATTTCGAAGCTTAGAGTTCGTTCATTGTTGTTTTATTTATGTTGAAAGTTTTAATAAAAAAAAATAGAAAACTTTTGGTTCACCCTAATATATATGAATTCATTAAAAAAAGTCTAACGGAAATGCATTTACAGAAATTTAGATAGAGCGTAAGTTCAAAACCCGCAAAATTGTCGAAAAACCGGCTTTTTCACAAAAAAGAAAAATTATTGTGAAAACAAAGATCCCAACTCTTAATTATTATTTTGAATGATTTTTACAAGTTTATATTGGGTTGGGGAGAATGAGTCGGCGCCGAAAATCAAAAAATGTCTAAAACTTCTATTCGACTTCGTCAAATAATATGCGTTTGATATGAGTAGAATGGTTAACTAATTCTCTACAAAATCACATTTAAAAGAAAATTCAAACAGCGCCTCCGCTCAAGAAAAAGCCATTTTTTTCACAAAAACTACAAACTATGATCTAGAAAAAACCATTGGTGGGATCTTCCTGCAAATTTGGCAACTTAAGTAATTGAATGTGCTCTATCTTTTTTATATAAACACCAAAGAAGGTTTATGCGAAAGAAACTGTTCAAATGATGAGTCGGACTCTTTGCCATTTTAACCAGCTGCGTTTGGAAGTTCATAAACTCCACGAAAGAAAAGCTTTGTGGAATCTCTCAAAAGTGATTTTGTAGAGAAATAGTGGATCCTTTTGATGAAACCAAACGTATATTTAAAGAAGGCTTTATGTGTGCAAAAAGTCCCTTTAAAGTTTGGCACCGACTCATTCTCCCCAACCCAATAGAAACAAATCTACTAATACCAACAACATTTTCAGCCAAAAAAGACTCGCATTTTTTGTAAAAAGTGTTTTTTTTCTTTAATTTCTCTTAAATTACCATAAACTTGTCTATTTTTATTTAATCTATCCAGTTTTTGTCTCTTTTGTGTGGCTTTTAAAAGGATATTAAACGATAGAGAAAGTGAATAGATTGGAAAGAAGAAAAGGACAAATTCGAGTCTTCAAAAATTACCTCAAAACAATTCCGATTGCTCGCAAGCCACCAAGACCCCATGCTAAATAAGCTTTTAAAAAAATCCCATAATAATTAAAGAATTAAATGCACCAGAAAAGATGCGTTTACGTTAGATGCGTTAGATGATTTTGAGCATGATTTTGAGCATGATTTTGAGCATGATTTTGAGCGTAAAAACGAACCATCAATCACTTCAATTATTACCAACAAAATAATAGTTATCAAAATCGATTTGATCCACATTTTGAAATTGAACTGATATTGAGAAATAGTTCTTTAAGTGTTCAAATCTTAATTTTTCTTCTTATCAATCAAATGGATCATTTTTTCCGTTTAGCGAGAACACTTTTCGATTTTTCTTTTCTCTGAGATCTATGATCAATCAAATCATGTGAGTATTTTTGTCTATTACAATTCATTAAGTCTGACGTCTATTACAATTCATTATGTTTGTTACAATTCATTAAGTCTGTCATAATTCATTAAGTCTGACGTCTATTACAATTCAGTAAGGTTGAGGTCTATTACAATTCATTAAGTCTGTTACAGTTCATTAAGTCTATTACAATCCATTTAGTCTGTTACAATTCATTAAGGCTGACGTCTATTACAATTCATTAAGTCTGTCACAATTCATTAAGTTTGTTACAGTTCATTAATTCTATTACAATTCATTATGTTTGTTACAATTCATTAGGGTTGACGTCTATTACAATTCATTAATTCTTTTACATTTTACAAATATCTAAAGTTTTCAAAAGAGAAAAGATAAAGAAGAAGAAAATGGTAAAAGAATATAAAAGAATATAAAAGAATATAAAAGAATATAAAAGAAATAAAAGAATATAAAAGAAAAGAAAAAGAAGATAAACGATTCAAGGAGAGGTGGTTGTTGAATGATGACTTTTTGGATGATTGCATGAGGATCCATGCTGATGCGAACCCCAAACGAGATTCGAGAGGCTGGGTGGAACAATCTAGAAAAAACAACAATAGATTTCCTTTACCTTTACCTTTATTGCAATACCTACAAGTTGTTAAAGCAAATTCCTGCGAGATTTCATTAGTTTGGCTCACAAAAACAATAGATTTCATTAGTTTGGCTAGTATGCTACTTAGATCGTTTTCTAAAATGTGTCTCCTTTCCAAACTAGTGGAATCTTGTCCTAATTTTAAACCAATCTATCCACTTTTTCTTGATTCTGTGAGGATTTAAAAAGGATATCGAAAGCAAGCTCTGTAATAGCTTCTATAGACTTCTATAGACTTCTATAGACTTCTAATCCTCTACACGCTGCACAAGGACATATTTCGTCTGCCCGAAAGAAGTTGTTGTAAAGAAGGCATCATTTTCGTTACCTCATTTTCAATTAGACGCCGAAATCTCACACTCCGATAGGCCGTTCTATTAAAGTTTTTTTAACGGCAACAATCAAAGCAAGTTTCAGGTTTAAGCCAGGGCAAAAGCTAGCTAGAAAGCTAGAAAGCTAGTTAGAAAGCTAGCTAGCTAGTTAGAAAAGTGAATTGTTTTTTTACTTAAGTAACTTTGACTCACTTGTGCCATTGTGGTGGCTAAGAAAAGCGCTTGAATGAGCACAACCATCAGAAATACGATAGCTTTCATTGTTTGGAATGAAAACCAAAAAACTGTTTTGGAAATTTGAAAACAATTGCTCTTTTTATAGTGAGAATCACTCCAAAAAAAAGCAAGCTTATGGAAATTTTCGTGAACGAGACAAAACCCTAGAACAAGACAAAAACAGCATCAAAAACCCTAGTTATGAAATTTTTGCTTAAAAGAAAAACGAATAGAGAATAATTCGATTATCGTCTACAAAAACAACATGTGAAATATTTGAATAAGAGCTTAGAATTGATCAATAATTGCATGTGAAAGAGCTTTGGTTTCTAAAAGTCTTTCCCAATACTGTTCTATATTTTTCTGTCTGAAGAGTTGTTTAAGAAGAAGAAGAAGAAGAAAAAAAAAAAAAAAAAAAAAAAAAAAAAAAAAAAAAAAAAAAAAAAAAAAAAAAAAAAAAAAAAAAAAAAAAGAGGAAAAAAAAAAAGGGAGGGAAAAAAAAGGAGGAAGAAGAGGAGGAGGAAGGAGAAGGAGAGGAGAGAAGGGGGAGGGAAAAAAAGAAGAAGAAGAAGAAGAAGAAGAAGAAGAAGAAGAAGAAGAAGAAGAAGAAGGGAAAAAGAAAAGAAGAAGAAAAGAAGAAGAAGAAGAAGAAGAAGAAGAAGAAGAAGAAGAAGAAGAAGAAGAAGAAGAAGAGAAGAAGAAGAAGAAGAAGAAGAAGAAGAAGAAGAAGAAGAAGAAGAAGAAGAAGAAGAAGAAGAAGAAGAAGAAGGAAGAAGAAGAAGAAGAAGAAGAAGAAGAAGAAGAAGAAGAAGAAGAAGAAGAAGAAGAAGAAGAAGAAGAAGAAGAAGAAGAAGAAGAAGAAGAAGAAGCCAAGGCATGTTCAAAACCACATAAAACTATTGATAGTTTGAAAAAAACGCTCGAAAAGGCTTGGGAAGAGCTGGAAGATCCTGCATACCTCCTCGTCAGGGTCCACGCTTTTCCACGACGTTTGGGCGTCGCCCAGCTTTGCACTAAAATTCTTGAAAAGTCTTATAGACAGAATGTGAGAATTTTTTAGATGGTAAAATACTAATTTTAGGAGATTTTCTACGTTCAGGGCAAATTTTGGCTTGATAGCTTAAATTGCAACAAAGTTTTGGTGAAAACAAAAAATATGCTAAAATTATGTCCGCTACTGTATTTAGCCTAGAAAATCACCTTGAATTTTGAGCTTCTTTTGAGGCTGTTGAGCTTCTTATGAGGCTGTTGAGCTTCTTTTGAGGCTGTTGAGCTTCTTATGAGGCTGTTGAGCTTCTTTTGAGGCTGTTGAGCTTCTTATGAGGCTGTTGAGCTTCTTTTGAGGCTGTTGAGCTGTATTGGAACCATATTGGAACTTGGCAAAAGGCCTCTCTAATTCTCGAGGCAAAAGGTCAGCTTGACTCGTCGCCTTTCCCTTGTCAATCAAATCTCTTCTAAAACAAATCTCTTCTAAGTCAAATCTCTTCTAAGTCAAATCTCTAATTCTATTGCTTTTTCTATCCAGATTTGTAGCCATTTCGGAAAAGAGCAAAGAAACAATTCTTAACAGAAAATGAAAAGAATGGAAAAACTTTTCGGGATCGATTTCCCATTACGTTTTTTCGCTATGGTTACTGAAGTTGGATCATGAAATCATAAAGCTTTTCGGATAGTAAAGCTTTTAAATAATAAAGCTTCAGTAAATTCAAGCTTTTCATTACAAGAACGCCTTTTTTAAAGTCATTTACAGAATATTTTCAGAGCTTAGCTTAAAGCTTATCTCTCCAAGCTTGTGCTCACTTGTAAACGCACCTGGCGCAGTCAATTTCTTCAATTTCTTCAATCCTCAATTCTTCAATTTCTTCAATTTCTTTAATTCCTTTATTTCTCAATTCTCGCGTACTAAATTCTTCACTTTTCTTTTGATATCTCGAGAAAAATCAAGATTTGAGTGCACCAGAAGGGTGCATTTACAGATTTAAGTCAAAAAAATGATTCTACAATCGCCCTTGATGAATTGATGATTTTGTCGACAAAAAAAACCGCTTTTTATTCTTAACAACTCCCATATTTCTTTTATTCTTTTGATTTTTCAGAATTTATTCAAAAGAGTTTCAAAATATTGAATTGGAAATATTGTGCTGAAGACAAATGGTTCGATCTGAGCCACTTGATGGTTGGTTTCATGAAAATCTAAATACATTTTACGTTTTCCTAACTTTACAGCTCAAAATGAGGGCGCTGGAGGGTTTGGACGTCGACGAGAGGATCGTCTAATGTATAAATTGGTGGACATGCATGGAGGAGGAGAGCTTATCTCGTGGATGAGGTGGGGGAAACTAAGGTTAAGTCTAAGCCTAAGCCTACGTCTAAGTCTAAGTCCAAGTCTAAGCTTCGGGAACTGGCTGAGGTCCAGAAAACGGGGGTTCAGCTCAAACCCAAATACCTATACTGACGCGTTCGTTAGGTCCGGAAGGGCTTTATGCCTTGCTGCCTTCTGGCTGGCTCGACAAAGCTTTGTCAAACTTGTGAATGAGCATTTAGCTTGAACAAGGCCAAGCCTAGCCAATTTGAACTAGCCTAAGCCTAAGCCTAACTCTAAGCCTAAACCTAAGCCTAAGCCTAAGCCTAAGCCTAAGCCTAAGCCTAAGCCTAAGCCTAAGCCTGAGCTGTAGCCCGGGCCCGAGCTGTAGCCCGAGCTGTAGCCCGAGCCCGAGCTGTAGCCCGAGCCCGAGCTGTAGCCCGAGCCCGAGCTGTAGCCCGAGCCCGAGCTGTAGCCCGAGCCCGAGCTGTAGCCCGAGCCCGAGCTGTAGCCCGAGCCCGAGCTGTAGCCCGAGCCCGAGCCCGAGCAACATGATTTGATTTCTCATTTCTCAGCGTTGAGTAGACGAATTAAGCTTTATTTTTTTGCCATTCGAAAGCCAAAACTCTTTTCTATGTAAAGAAATGAAAAATATTGACTTTTAAAAAAGTTGTGTTGTTTAAAGTTCGATCAAAATACGGAAAAAGGAAAAGAGTCGGAAAATTTGTATTGTAGCTTGAGGTAGACTTTTTTAACCAATCTAGATTATAGATTTATATTTATACAGCTTTTTCTATATATTTATCGATTTATATGTTTATATTTATTTATTATACTTTTTATTTAAGATATGGAAATCGATCCGGTGACTACTCGATGGTTGAAGGGTATTTCGAGTCAATGGTGCGTTTATTCGTTCAATTTTCGGTACTTTCTCATTATACAGCAACAGATTGTTGTACCACAGCAACAATCCGATAAATGAGAATAGAAGAAATATTTGTTTCTTCTTTGAGAAAAACAGCGTTCGGATAAATGCAAATTTTTGGCAGGTTAATGGAGAATAACGGGATTGATGCTGTGCGGGAGTACTGGGATTGATGCTGTGGGGAAGAATGGGATTGATGCTGTGGGGGAATAAGGGATTGATGCTGTGGGGGAGTACTGGGATTGATGTTGTGGGGGAGTAATGGGATTGATGCTGTGGGAGTATAAATGAGAGAGTACCCAATTTTCTTCCAATGCCTCTTAATAAACTAACAATAGGGCTAAATAGGAAACAAATTAAAGTATTGCACGGCTTCCTGTTCACTCTCCACCAATCTTTCCTCGTCTTTTCTTCCTCGACTTCCCGGTTGTTTCCGATTTTTCTCTCCAAATCCCAATCCACTCATTCTCCTCACAATTCCCGTCAACATCGTCTCTCTTTTTTCTTCGTCCACCGTTTTCCGGGATTTCTCTGAAGCCGTTTCTTGTTTCTTGAAGTCAAATGTTTCTCTTGTTGTTAATTGTTCAAGTTCAGGTTTGCGAGAGTATGTACAATCAAGGAAAAGGGAAAATCATGTCTATTAACGAGCTGGTGAAAGTGAGAAATAAAGTGAGTAAAATGAAGGGGGTTTTATGCAAGACTTGTTATCAGGAAAGGAATGATTGGTGGCAACAAAATATGGCAAAGAGACAAAAAGGGAAAGCGGCACCGAATCTGCTTGATGCTTTCAATCAAGAGGGAGCGAATACAGGCGATGTACAGAAAGGTGATTTTGTTGTAAATTCGTAAACGCATGAATCTAGTGCACTGAGTTCTTGATTTTCTTCAGTAGATTGTGGAAAGGGGGAGTAGAAATCGAGTTGAAATGGATGATGATGTTGAAATAGATTATTTTGTGATTACTGGATCAAAGCAATCGCTGAATAAGCTATTAGATTGCTTTTTTTGAAGTAATATTGTTGATATTTGGTGATTTAGATATTAGATATGTTTGAATTGAGTCCTAAGACTAAATGGTAGACTATGGTAGACTAAAAAGTCGTACCAGTCGTGCCATGTCAGGCACAAGGTGATCGCGAATTATCCCGACTCATTTCTGAGGGTCTAGCTCAGCGATAACTCAATGAATCGGTTTGAAATTTTTGGAGATCATTTTTGAGTATTTTTCCCATAAACAAGCCAATTTTCTAACCAATTGATGCTTCTAGAGACTTTATATGACTTTTCAAAGTTGAGTGATCAAGAAAAACTAACTCGTAGGTTTTTGAAGTTATTTCTATTAATTGGGTAAGGTAGAATTTGATATAAAAACAGGAAAAGCTAATATTTCAATTTATCTTATTAATTTTAGCCTTAAAAATGTTGGAGGGTGGCGGAAAGAAAGGAAAAAACGATTCAAAGTATCGGGATGTCGTTTGGCGGTTAGAGGAACGAGGTGAGATGTTTTGATGAAAGAAAAGTAACAAAAATATTAATATTATTGATAGAATATATGCTAATTCATTTATCGATCTATTTATTGATCTATTTAATCAATTTCTTTGCAGGTAGTATGGGCGAAACACTGATGGGAGTCGCCCTTCTCACAGCCACACCCATTCATCACGGACTTGTCGTTCAGTTGGCGAACGAGTTCCCGAAACTCGTCAACGATTATTGTATATCTGAAGATTATTATGGTAGGTTGCAATTTGCAGTTGTCAGTACGGTGCGGCATACCGATATGCCTTTCAAACGAAGTAACAGCTGCTGTTTGAACTTCTGTTTCATCTTTTGAATCTACTCCTTCCCTTGGCAACATCTTTTTCTATCAAAGCTTGCCGTAAGCATTACGCTAACATTCACTTTTTTTACCAACTACCTGCACGGTTTCAGCCACGCCTTTTGAATGATTGAAGTAAGCTGCTGGATCAACTGCTTGGTCAACTGCTGGATCAACTGATTGATCAGCTGCTGGATCAACTGCTTGGTCAACTGCTTGGTCAGCTGCTTGGTCAACTGCTGGATCAACTGATTGATCAGCTGCTGGATCAACTGCTTGGTCAACTGCTGGATCAACTGCTTGGTCAACTGCTGGATCAACTGCTTAGCCAGCTGCTGGATCAACTGCTTGACCAACTGCTTGATCAGCTGCTTGATCAACTGCTTGATCAACTGCTTGATCAACTACAAAGACTTGTATTTGTCTCTCATCGAATTTTCCTTACATCCAACCAATAATGATCCTGTGACTCCAAATCGTTTTAAGGCAGCATTGTTTGATGCCTTCTTCTCGTACTTGATGATTGGTTAAAGGATTGGTTATTGGTTAATGATTTTAACCAATTTGGTTAAAGCATCAAAAGCTCGCGACGTTTTCCCTTGGATATAGAAAAAGCTTGATCAACTGCTTGATCAGATGCTGGATCAACTGCTTGATCAGCTGCTGGATCAACTGCTTGATCAACTACAACTCTTTGTAGTTGATCAAGCATTGCTAGCTGTATCTTCATCGTCAGTGTTTTATTCTTTACCAGCTCAAGCTCAGTAAACAAAAATAGAAAGGAAAGATTTGAAATATGGGGTTTGAAAAAAAAAAGACGTTCGACATGGACACTATAAATGATGCACGATGCAAAATTTTCAGGAATGTCCCCATTACATCAAGCAATCATCAACGAGGATCCATATATGACGAGTATTCTCTTGAAAAAGGGTGCTAACGTGAATACGAGGTAGAGTGATGGAAATTAGCTGAAAAAGTACAATTAGCTTTAAAGCCTGACCTGGCTACCGTACCCTATAACTGAATTTTATCGATTTTGCAGTAAACTGGTATGGTTGTTAGAAAAATTAGATCAATAGATCAAGTTGAGTCGGGTTACGGTAACTGGGACAGCTACTGTTATCGGACAGCTACTGTTATCGGCAGCTACTGTTATCGGCAGCTACTGTTATTGGACAGCTACTGTTATTGGACAGCTACTGTTATTGGACAGCTACTGTTATCGGATAGCTACTGTTATCGGACAGCTACCGTTATCGGACAGCTACTGTTATCGGACAGCTACGTTAAAAAGCTTGTTAGGGCCAGGAGAGCTTAAAGAGCTTATTAGGGCCAAGAGAGCTTAAAGAGCTTATTAGTGTCAGGGAAGTGTTCACAAGTTCATATAAAACACTAAACTACTTCATCATCTTTAGCTAAAAGCTTTTTAGATGTTATGGTGCTTTCTTTTGTGTTGATGATCAGAAAAATCATCGAGCCGATTTGCCCGACGAGGAGTCCGTTCAATTACCATTGAAGACGAATTATACGGGGTTTATTTTGAACTTGGTTTTGACTGAATGGTTGTGGGACTTTTGACTAACAGCTTCTAAGTCTAGGGAATATTAGGCCTAGGGAATATTAGGCCTAGGGAATATTAGGCCTAGGCAATATTAGGCCTAAGCAATATTAGGCCTAGGGAATATTTGGCCTAGGCAATATTAGGCCTAGGCAATATTAGGCCTAAGCAATATTAGGCCTAGGGAATATTAGGCCTAGGCAATATTAGGCCTAGGCAATATTGCCAATATTATTGCCTAGGCTTGTTTTTTTCAAGGCTTGCTTTTTTCAAGGCTTTTATTTTTTTCAAAAGCCTTTACTTTTAAGAGTGAATATCTCAAGAATCATTCAAACAATTTACAAAATTTCTCTTTGCCATTAACTAGATAAAGCACTAACACTACAAGTGATAGCACTAAGACTACAAAAGACGACACATCGTTGTTAGCATTGCGCTGTAGTCAGTGCTTTGCCTTTGCCACTTTGCTTCACTTTGCCGTCATTTTTCTTGTACTAAACAAAAGTTTTTCGAAAAGTTTTTTATATCATCGTGTAGCCCAATTGATAGGCTATATTTTGATACTAGACTTGTACAAAGTGAAGGCTTTGGTCGATCACAATCTCATTTGCAATGATCACGATCCCACAATCATGATCCCCAGTTCAGTCGGATGTATTTCGGCGAGTTTCCGCTCTCATTTGCTGCTTGTATGAACGATGAGGATTGTTTCCGATTGTTGATTGCGTATAAGGTTTCCTTGCATAAGGTTTTCTCGGATTTCAATCTACATCATTTTCCAGGCAAATCCAAATGCCCAGGATTCAAACGGGAACACTGTGTTGCACATGTGTGTCATCCATGAGAATCTGGTTAGTCTAAGAGAACTTGAACATACTTTGTGCTTGTACTTTGTGCTCGTACTTTGTGCTTGTACTTTGTGCATTTGTAAGCACAATCCTTTGGTACACAATCCTTTGGTGCTCAATCCTTCGGCGCACAATTCTTTGGTGCACAATTCTTTGGTGCACAATCCTTTGGTGCTCAATCCTTCGGCGCACAATTCTTTGGTGCACAATTCTTTGGTGCAAAGCAAGAAGAAAAAGAAAGGATTCAGTGCGATAGACAGGATGATTTTACATATTGAATTTCTAGAAAATGCTTCGTCTTGCCGTTGAAAAAGACGCGAAATTGTCGATTGTGAATCGCCAACAACTCTCTCCATTAACTTTAGCCGCAAAATTAGCAAAAAGAGAGATGTTTGTTGAGATTTTGGGAATGGAAGCTGATGTTATTTGGTCATATGCTGACTCGTCACAGGTTTATTTGTAATTATTTGTTATTATTAGTTATTATTAGTTGTTATTAGTTATTATTTGTTTATAAATTTCATTTAGACCGCTTACCCATTAGCGAAAATCGACACAATCAATGAAGAAAATGGGGAACTCAACGAGCAGAGCGCTCTAGCGCTTGTTGTTTATGGGGTAAGTGTCAGGGAACAAGGTTGGATTCAGATATAATCGAAATAATAATAGAACTCTAATAGAACTCTCTAATAGAACTCTCTAATAGAACCCTTTAATAAAACCCTCTAATCAAACCCTCTAATAGAACTCTCTAATAGAACTCTCTAATAGAGCTCTCTAATAGAACTCTCTAAAAAACCCTCTAATCAAACCCTCTAATCAAACCCTCTAATAAAACCCTCTAATCAAACCTAATGACAGCGTATCGCCGCGTAGTCTAACTTTAAACACCCCGTTCTCCGCTCTACTTTAAGCTACAGTTTTTGTTCAGACATCAAATGATAGCTCTTGAAATCTAGTATTTTTTGATATCAAAAGTGTAGTTGGGAAAATCTAGAGGCTGAGAAAAAAAGAAGAAGAAGAAGAAGAAGAGGAAAAAAAATGATTTTCTAAAAAAAAGTTAGAAATTCCCATTAATTCACCAATTAATTTCTAGTTTTCACTAAATAAAAAGTGTTTTTTCTTAAAATTTTCATCTTTTTAAGTCAATTTCAACTCAATTACAAGCAAATTCAATAGGGGAAACAAGTGTTTTTTGTAAATGCTAGAATTGTAAAGGGACATTGAAAAATAGAGGGTAGAAAAATAGAGGGTAGAAAAATAGAAAATAGAAGTTTCTATTGAATGTTTACGGTATGATAGATTTATCATTGCTGTTGTCTGGATTTTTCTTTGGGATACGATAGCTTTAATTGATTAAGGAATCGACGGATCACTTGGAACTGTTGGATGGCCTTCTCGAAAGTATCATCGAAAGCAAGTGGATTGCTTATGGAAGGAGGCGGTTTGTAGAGAAAAATCGATAGAAAGAATAGAAAGAATAGAAAGATAGAAAGAATAGAAAGAATAGAAATAATAGAAAGATAGAAAGAATAGAAAGATAGAAAGGGAATTTTAATTTTAAGACTCTCTCATTAGGAAATGTTTATGGAAATCTTATCTCCGATTTTTAAACCTTTTTAATAGATGTCTAATAGATTTCTAATGTTTTTGCATTAGAAAACTAAATTTTAAAATGATAGTTTCTCCATAAGTTCTTTTAAAAACGAAAAAAAGGCATTTCTTTTGCTATTTTTTTTGAGAAATTATTGTTGATCAAGAATTTGATTAATAAATAAATAAATAAATCAATCAATAAATAAATAAATAAATAAATAAAAGGGGGGGTATTCGTTCCTAGGTATAAACGGATGTGGACTAGAATTTGGGTTAAGTTAAAGAGAGTGGATCCCTTTTGATATCCCGCCATCTCTAACACCCCGACAACCCAACTCCTCCAACGTATTAGTGGGGAGTCCCTGTGAAATGACCGACCTGTACTGCAGTTGCATAGACCCGGAAGATATGTATCTTTATTTACAGTAGTATAATAAGACGAATAGATTACAAATAAGTGTAAGGGGAAGGGGATAAATGAGAGTCTCACTTGTCCTCCTAGGGCAATCCCATTGCCTTATTGGAAGGGATGTAGGCCTCCTAGGCTCTTAGGTCCTTCTAGCTCCTCCTAGGTCCTTTTAGCTCCTCCTAGGTCCTTCTAGATCCTTCTAGCTCCTCCTAGGTCCTTCTAGCTCCTCCTAGGTCCTTCTAGGTCCTTCTAGCTCCTCCTAGGTCCTTCTAGGTCCTTCTAGCTCCTCCTAGGTCCTTCTAGCTCCTCCTAGGTCCTTTTAGCTCCTCCTAGGTCCTTCTAGATCCTTCTAGCTCCTCCTAGGTCCTTCTAGGTCCCTCCTAGGTCCTTCTTCAGGTCCTTCTAGCGTCCTTCTAGCTCCTCCCTAGGTCCTTCTAGCTCCTCCTAGGTCCTTTTAGCTCCTCCTAGGTCCTTCTAGATCCTTCTAGCTCCTCCTAGGTCCTTCTAGCTCCTCCTAGGTCCTTCTAGCTCCTCCTAGGTCCTTTTAGCTCCTCCTAGGTCCTTCTAGATCCTTCTAGCTCCTCCTAGGTCCTTCTAGCTCCTCCTAGGTCCTTCTAGGTCCTTCTAGCTCCTCCTAGGTCCTTCTAGCTCCTCCTAGGTCCTTCTAGATCCTTCTAGATCCTTCTAGGTCCTTCTAGGTCCTTCTAGCTCCTCCTAGCTCCTTCTAGGTCCTCCTAGGTCCTTCTAGCTTCTTCTAGGTCCTCCTAGGCAATCCCAAGGACCGCCCCTTCTCGGCAATAAAAGGGATAAGCACAGGGGAGGACACATTTGCATAAGAATAGACAAATCATTTAATAATAACAATAGTAACTAAAATATCAGTTTGGCTCGGAGCTGACAGGGGCGTAATTTCGATGGTTTTTAAGAAAAACCTTCCGTTAAGGTACTAAAGTAATGAACAAAATCAGAATCGTGTTTGATTTGAATAGATTTGATCAAAGAATTGAAGATTCTTTGTGAAACGATTTTTCTAGGTAAAAAAGAGGTTTTGAAGATAAAAATTTTCAAAATCAAAATATTGAATTGAATATGCAATAACTGATAGGGTGTCCAGAAAGTCTTTGCAGTTTTGAACTTGAATTTCTTTAAAACGAATTCTAGAACACTTTATTCTATTATTTACAAATCGACGTCAAGGAATTACTTGTAAAAATGAGTGCAATTTTTCGATAAAAACTTTGAGATCTCGAAAAAGTACAGTCGAGGTTCGAGAGGAAATCACTCGATAGTAAATCAATAATAAATGACTCGATAGTAATCACTCGATAGTAATCACTCAATAGTAATCACTCAATAGTAATCACTCAATAGTAATCACTCAATAGCAATCACTCAATAGTAATCACTCGATAGTAATCACTCGACAGTCAATCACTCAATAGTAAATCATTTTTGGAGAATCCCTTCAATGATTTACTATCGAGCCTCCACTTTATTACTTTCCAGCTTGTCCAGCTCACTTTTTGCCCCAAAAAAACGATTTTTTGGAGTAGATTTGGGAAGAATTGATGGCTTGGCTTTTGAGAGATCATTGTACAAACTTTTTTTTACGAATTTTCTTCCCAATCTAATAGCAAATTGGTGATTGAATTAAATTCTTTTTAGTTGGTGCATCTCGTTGATCAGTTTCGTCATCTACTACATATTTTTGGTTGCCGCTTTCAGTTTACGACCGATCAGCATGACGACATCGGTTGGGAAGATTTCAATGTTATATGATGTTTAGGCTTTAATTGTGCTTACAAAAAGATGTGTGACTTAGAAAGAATAAAGAATAGAAAGAATAGAAAGGTAGAAAGGTAGAAAGAATAGAAAGATAGAAAGAATAGAAAGAATAGAAAGATAGAAAGAATAGAAAGGGAAATTTAAAGGCTCTCACAAATCAAAACGTTTGCGAAACGGGTTTACCGGCGAACGACATCTGGGAATGGGAGAAACTCGATCCAGAAATCGATTGGAATACGGTAAAATCGCTAAAAAGCTATAGATTTTGATTTCAACAATTTTCGACAATATTCGATCTTGGATTTGACGAAGCTTACTCAATTGGTTGCCCAGAAACATTCCCAGGAAACACCACTTGGTGTCATTTACGAGATTACTCTAAAATGAGCGATCGTTATATTGGATTTGGATGGGTGAGTGAAGAGATTTAATTTAAAGGCTTAATTTAAAGGCTTACTTTAAAGGCTTACTTTAAAGATCTCTGGTTTACTTTGTGTTAAATTCAGTTTAATGTGTTCTAAACAGGTTAAACACAACCTTTCTAGTGCACTGAATTCTTTTTTCTTTCTTCTAGATCCGACTCGCTTGCGAAATGATCGTTTTGTCGCTGGTTTTCGCTCAAATTATTCTCGATTTTATTGATATTCGTCGAATTGGTCGTCAAAAATGGTTAAATATGTTGGTGAGTTGATTTTTTAGAAATCATTTTCTTTTCTTTTCTTTTCTTTTGTTAAACATTCGCAAAAATAAATCCCCTAGATCATTTTCGCAAAATTTAATCATTTAATAATCAAAAATAGGGGTTATTGGTGATTTTTTTTGCACACATAAGCACAATTTACTATTTGGGGCTTAGGGAATATAAAATTATCGATAGAATTATTGTTTGTGAGGATGGGACAATGTAGGAGACGATTTAGGAGACGATTTAGGAGACGATGTAGGAGACGATTTAGGAGACGATGTAGGAGACGATTTAGGAGACGATGTAGGGGACAATGTAGGAGAAGGCTACCCGCTTTATATAAGCTTGCGCCATAGACAAGTCTACCCATTTAAATCCTGGCCATTTGTATCCTGGCCATTTGGATCCTGGTCATTTGGATCTTGGCCATTTGGATCTTGGCCATTTGGATCTTGATCATTTGGAGCTTGGCCATTTGGATCTTGATCATTTGGAGCTTGGCCATTTGGATCTTGATCATTTGGAGCTCGGCCATTTGGATTCTGGCCATTTGGATCTTGATCATTTGGAGATTGGCCATTTGGATCTTGGCCATTTGGATCTTGGCCATTTGGATCTTGGCCATTTGGATCTTGATCATTTGGAGCTTGGCCATTTGGATCTTGATCATTTGGAGCTCGGCCATTTGGATTCTGGCCATTTGGATCTTGATCATTTGGAGATTGGCCATTTGGATCTTGGCCATTTGGATCTTGGCCATTTGGATCCTGGCCATTTGGATCTTGATCATTTGGAGATTGGCCATTTGGAGCTTGGCCTTGTGGATCTTGATCATTTGGATCTTGGCCATTTGGATCTTGGCCATTTGGATCCTGGCCATTTGGATCTTGGCCATCTAAAGAATCTAAAGAGAAATCATAAAAGTATTTACAAAAAGAAAAACAAAGAACAAAACAGAAAGCAGCAGTGAGCGGATTCGAACCCTGGAGATCAGAACCTTTAAGCTCGGTATCCTAACTCACTATCCACTAGACCATCCAGCCACTCGATCATCGCCTTATAAAGAGAGATAAAAAAGAGCTCATTTTATTTATTTTATTTCTATTGGCCATTTCTTGTAACCCTTTTGATTCTCTGATCAAATTTGGCTAGAATTTGGCTGATCGAAAAACTGGCCAGATTACGGTAGCTTTTGTCTGAAATTTCGACCTTTTAGGAAACGAATAAACCAATTTTTCTTTCAGAAATCATTTCCCGCAAAGATCATCTACAAGTTCTCTTTTCTCCTCATCTTACTCGTCATACCAATTAGGTGCGTGAGCTTTCATCAAGTAATTTCTTATCAATCCTCTCAGAATGTTGTGCTTTATTGGGCCAATCATGCTCGCATTCGACAATTATCTCTCGTTGTTATCCGTTCTCTTCACCACGATACACTTTTTGTTTTATTTGAGGTAGCTTAAAGCTTAGCTTAAAGCTTAGCGTAAAGCTTAACTTAAAAGCTTAAAGCTTAGCTTAAAGAACGTTTCTTCAAGTAAACGCAAATGATCTGGCACAGTTTTTAATCTGAAATTGTTAAAACTATTAGGTTGTTCGGATATAAACAAGCGTTGCTAAGCTTATTGTTGTGAGGGAAGCTTTTGAAATATGCCTTTCTTTATTTAAAAGTATGTTATCTTGTGTATATTCGGAATCTTTTTAAACCGGTAATTTCAATCGATAATTATTTTTAAGAGCTTTTTTTCTTGCTTTAGATGATCGATTTTAAATTTCAAATTCACCTACTTTACGACTTCAAATTGGTCAAAACAGTAGCGGAATCCCATCGAGACATTATCGAGAACCCTTCGAGATTTAGTCAAAGCATTTGGAATGATGTATTGTTCAAAAGCCGATGCCGAGCCTGGTTCCAACGCTTTCGGAATGGTGATGAAAGGATCATGAACACTCACGAGAATCATGAACCCTCTCGTCGACCTCAAGCGGTAGACAACGACAATGATACAACGACAACGATACAATGACAACAATTCAATGACAACGATTCAATGACAACGATACAACGACAACAATACAACGACAACGATACAATGACAACGATACAATGACAACGATACAATGACAACAATTCAATGAAAACGATTCAATGACAACGATACAATGACAACGATTCAATGACAACGATACAACGACAACAATTCAATGACAACGATACAATGACAACGATACAATGACAACGATTCAATGACAACGATTCAATGACAACGATTCAATGACAACGATACAACGACAATGATACAACGACAACGATACAATGACAACGATACAATGACAACGATACAATGACAACGATTCAATGACAACGATTCAATGACAACTCGAATCGAATCCATTTCAAACGACGCGTAAACTTACTCAACACTTTTTATGTTCAAATTCTAACATTGATGAGCATCTCCATTGGAAAGACGATCAGATGCGGGCAATGGCTTCCTTACGAGTTAAGCAGTACAAACGCTCGTTTATATCCGAACAACCTACCGTAAATACTTTAATAGTACCCCACCGCCCTCGTACAGTCGCGTAGTCGTAAACGCGTAGTCGTTTTTTAGTATTTCATTTTTTTCAAAGCGCCCGTACTTTCAAAAAATGCGTCTTTGGTATCAAAAAATAGCTGAAATTCAGGGCTATTTTTTGATACCTAAATGTACATTGTAGCATAAACCAGTGTCGAGAAAAACGCGTTCAAAACTAGACTACGCGACACTCCGCACCGTCATTATGGGGGTGGGGTACTATTACAGTATTTACGGTAATACTAATCTTGTCTCGATTTTTATCGAAACAAGGCTTAGAAAACGATTCAATTCAATTCAGAGCCATCAAATTTATCGGTTCATTTGTTTTAATGATCTATACAATCATTCGCACTGATATTTTTCGTTTTGTTAGCATCTATTTGATCTTTCTCTTCGGTTTTTCACAAGGTAATCTAATCAATTCAAAAATCTCTTCAAATCTCTTCAAATCCAATTCAAAAACCAATTCAAAAACTAATTCAAAAGCAATTCAAAATAAATTCAAAATCATTTCAAAACCATTTCAAAACCATCTCAAAATTTCAAAAATCTATTCAAAACCAATTCAAAAACCCAATTCTATTCTACTTTAGCCTTTTTTGTGACCATTTCAAAACCAATTCAAAAACCAATTCAAAACGAATTCAAAAACCAATTTAAAACCCATTCAAAACCAATTCAAAAACCATTTCAAAAACCAATTCAAAAACCAATTCAAAACCAATTCAAAATCCAATTCAAAAACCAATTCAAAAACCAATTCAGAAACCAATTCAGAAACCAATTCAAAAACCAATTCAAAAACCAATTTAAAACCCATTCAAAACCAATTCAAAATCCAATTCAAAACCAATTCAAAACCAATTCAAAAACCAATTTAAAACCCATTCAAAAACCAATTCAAAATCCAATTCAAAACCAATTCAAAACCGAGTCAAAACCATTTCAAAAGCACAATTCTATTCTACTTTAGCCTTTTTTGTGACATTCAAATCTTGCGAACTCTACAGTAATCAACAAATCGAGAACGGCATCATCAATCCCGCAAATATCTCACACCAACTTTGGACTGATCTTGATGGAATGTAAAGCTTGGATTAGATTTGGATTAGAGTTTAATTTGTGCAAACGCACGCCATCTAGTGCCTTGAAATACTCAATTTCTCTCAATTGCTTTAAAGATTACTTTAAATTACTCTAAACTATCGTAAGAGCTTTCAGTTTGCATCCAACCGGCGAGGGTTTCGATAATATTTTGGCTTCTCCGCAAGAATCTTTTGTTCGAACTTTTATCATGACTACTGGTGAGTTTTATAATTCTAAATTACTCGAAATTACTCGAAACTCCAGCAAGGACAATTAAATAGAAACTAGAACGCTAGATAGAATAGTTTTTGTGGAAAAAGAGAACTTTAAGCAAGACGAGCAAAACTTTAAACGCACTGAATTACCTAGCGTTTTGGAAAAGAATCAAATGAGAAAAATAGCCGGCGGAATTGAACCCTTGACCTCTCGACTAAGATACAGCACTCTTAACCAGTCGATCATGACAGCACTCTTAATCAGTCGGTCAAAGATTAACAAAATAACACACAAGTTCTCTTATAGACATTTATAGTGACAAGAAGATTGACAACGGGAACAAATTTAGAAGAAAATTAAGGTGAATTCATGAGCCCTCTACCAAGAACTCGCTTCTTGTCCAAATCCGATCATGATCGTCATTGGAAAGGTGAGTTAGTGATGAAAGACATGGGTACTGGCAAGTACAGACTGCACAGGCTAAGCTAAGCCAAGCTACAGACTGCACACAAGCTACAGACTACAGACAAGTACAGACTGCACAGGCTAAGCTAGGCCAAGCTACAGACTGCACACAAGCTACAGACTACAGACAAGTACAGACTGCACAGGCTAAGCCAAGCCAAGCTACCGACTACAGACTAAGCCAAGCTTCTTCAGCTTCATAGTGTTAGTGATTAAAGTTATTAAAGACTTGATTCACTTACTTTTAAATCTAATTTTGCTTTCATAATTGATAAGCGAAATCTATTTGCTTCCATATAAATAAGTCATTTTAAACCCGTTTTTTTTTTTGATGTTATTAGGTTTGAAAGAAAGTTGTCGGAAAAAGTTTGACTCGAATTTGCTTAAACAAATCCATGAATTCAAGAAAATTTTCTTCTATTATTTAAAAGTCGACTTTAAAAACTTACTCGTAAAAAATGAGTGCAACTTTCCCGTAAGATTTGAGAGATTTTTCAAAAAATTATTCTCTCTAATAGTATTGGGTTGGGGAGAATGAGTCGGCGCCCAGCTTTAAAGGAACTTTTTGCACACATAAAGCCTTCTTTAAATATACGTTTGGTTTCATCAAAAGGATCCACTATTTCTCTACAAAATCACTTTTGAGAGATTCCACAAAGCTTTTCTTTCGTGGAGTTTATGAACTTCCAAACGCAAGCTGGTTAAAATGGCAAAGAGTCCGACTCATCATTTGAACAGTTTCTTTCACATAAACCTTCTTTGGTGTTTATATAAAAAAGATAGAGCACATTCAGTTACTTAAGTTGCCAAATTTGCAGGAAGATCCCACCAATGGTTTTTTCTAGATCACAGTTTGTAGTTTTTATGAAAAAATGGCTTTTTCTTGAGCGGAGGCGCTGTTTGAATTTTCTTTTAAATGTGATTTTGTAGAGAATTATTAACCATTCTACTCATATCAAACGCATATTATTTCACGAAGTCGAATAGAAGTTTTAGACATTTTTTTTGATTTTCGGCGCCGACTCATTCTCCCCAACCCAATAGTTCATCCTGAGCATCGCCTAAATCCATCGAAATCTCGTGAACCGCTTATCAGAACCTATCGATGTGGGGTCGGAAAATGTAGCTGACGATGAGATCTTGACGATGATTAGAGTGATGAGCTTCTGGGAAAAATTTGAAACTCTAAAATAGTCATAAACTCGGCTCACCGGGGTCCACTACTATTAGAGAGAATACGGTATTTTCCAGCTTAAATTCAGCTCACTTTTTGCATCAGGAAAACGATTTTTTTATGAGGTAAAGCTAGCATAAATGAGCAATACGCTCTATAAACTCTCATTTTGGTCAAAAACTTTTTATAGAGAAGCTGTATTTCTAAAATTTGTGTCATCTTCTTGGCACTGAGTGTTTGCTAAAATAGGTGATTCTGAAAAGTTAAAAGCATTACATTCAATTTGCCTTAATCACAAAATTTTCTGTTTTAAGTACTTCATTTTAGGTTTTAAATGGGAGTCATTGTCTATTCATTAACCCATTAAAAACTTGTCTAAAGGTTAATCACTCAAAAAGTGATCAAGTCAAGAAGCTGAAGCTGGAGCTGAGGCTGAAGCTGAGGCTGAAGCTGAAGCTGAAGCTGAGCTGGGCTGGAGCTGAGCTGGAGCTGAGGCTGAAGCTGAGGCTGAAGCTGAAGCTGAAGTTGAAGCTGAAGCTGAGGTTGAAGCTGAAGCTGAGGCTGAAGCTGAGGCTGAAGCTGAAGCTGAGGCTGAAGCTGGAGTTGAAGCTGAAGTTGAAGCTGGAGCTGGAGCTGGAGCTGAGGCTGAAGCTGGAGTTGAAGCTGAAGTTGAAGCTGGAGCTGGAGCTGGAGCTGAGGCTGAAGCTGAGGCTGAAGCTGAAGCTGAAGCTGGAGCTGGAGCTGGAGCTGAAGTTGAAGCTGAAGCTGAGACTGAAGCTGAAGCTGAGGCTGAAGCTGGAGTTGAAGCTGAAGTTGAAGCTGGAGCTGGAGCTGGAGCTGAGGCTGAAGCTGGAGTTGAAGCTGAAGTTGAAGCTGGAGCTGGAGCTGGAGCTGGAGCTGAGGCTGAAGCTGAGGCTGAAGCTGAAGCTGAAGCTGAAGTTGAAGCTGGAGCTGGAGCTGATGTTAAAGCTGCAGCTGAAGTTTGCCTATACGTCGATTGATCGTTTAATTTCTAGATTTGTTTCATCACCTTTGAGCTACTCGTCTTTCTCCTTCTCTTCAACATGTTAATTGCCATGTTGAATAGAACTTATCACACGATTTTCAGTACAAAAAAGAGTACAAACGACAGGTGAAGTGAGCTCTCGAATTTGAGCATTCCAAATTTTCAGTGGGCTCAAGTGATTCTCTCGCTAGAGATGTCACTTCCACCACAGGAACGCCTCATTCCATTTACTCAAATACTCGAGACCAATTGGCACAAATAAGCAAAAGAGAAGCTATGTAGTGAACAAGAAAATGAATGTAAGTTCTAGTAAACAAGATCAGACTATAAACCCTTGTAAAACCGCGTAGAATAGAGTTTTTTCACCAAAATATTAAGGAAACTTTTGGCTTTCGGAATGAAACTAAAATAAAGAGAATTTCTCATCTCTAGAACGAGCTATTTCTAGCTGTAGTCTTGTCCAATGGAATGAGACTATAAGTCTAGAAAAAAAAAACGTTAAATCTCAGCATAGAGAACATGATTTGGCTTGATTTTGATGTCATTCGAAAGCCGAAAGTTAGTTCGATATTCTTGAAAGTCTTGAAAGTCTTGAAAGTTAGTCTTGAAAGAGTTAGTCTTGAAAAACCTCTAGTCTATGTGTTTCTACAAGGGTTTGTACTTTGATTTTGTAGTTGTAGCTGTTGTAGCTGTAGTTGTTGCTGTAGCTGCTGTAGTTGTAGCTGTTGTAGTTTGAGCTGTAGTTTTGTAGCTGTTGTAGCTGTTGTAGCTGTAGTTGTGGCTGTTGTAGCTGTAGCTGTTGTAGCTGTAGTTGTAGTTGTTGCTGTTGTTGCTGTTGCTGCTGTTGTTGCTGTTGTTGCTGCTGTTGTAGCTGTAGCTGTTGTAGCTGTAGTTGTTGTAGCTGTAGTTATAGCTGTTGTAGTTGTAGTTGTAACTGTTGTAACTGTAACTGTATTCTAAGTCGTAGCTTTCTTGGTTTGTTTAGATGAATAATGTTCAAATGAACATTTTTCTTTTCGTTTCCGTCAAAACGATCAAATTACTAGAGAACTGTTTATTAGAGGACTGGCTTTTATCACGTTCTCGTTGAACAGAAACTGTTTGTATTGGATAATATGTGCATATTCTTGAAGAATTAGGTTCTAGCTAGCTCCAAGTTACCCAAAATTCAGGAAGAAAACATGGAGGCTTTCGAGAAAAGAGCTCTCTAACGAGAAGCAAAACAGATCGCAGAGGAGAAGCGCTTTTGTACAAACGGCGGATGAAGGTGAAAATCGATCTGTTTTCGTGTTTCCTTTCCCTAAAACTACCGTAATCATTACCGTAATCTTGTCTCGATTTTCTTGTCCCAATTTTCACAATCACTTTTCAGGATTTGGACATAAAAGACGCATCTCTCCGTCCATTGACGTCACTCATTCGTCCAATGACTTCATATCTCGCGAATATCCGCCCAAAAACAAGATCAACATCTCCATATCAAGATATTACTTGATAAACAAACTATAAATAAAAATAAAATGAATAAAATTGATCTAAATCGATCTAAATTGATCCAAAAATCGATCAAATCGAACCGATCAAACCTAAATTGATCTAAAATTGATCTAAATTGATCTAAATCGATCTAAATTGATCTAAAATTGATCTAAATTGATCTAAATTGATCTAAATTGATCTAAAATTGATCTAAACTTCATTTTATTACAAAAACCCGACCGTAACCCATTCCCGTCTCATTTCTCATTTCATTTCTCATTTCATTTCTCATTTCCATTCTCATTTCCATTCCCATTTCATTCCTCAACCTCTCTCCTTCATTCTATTTCGTGTCCTATCTAATCCTATCTCTAGCCATAATTGTCGCAACAAAGTTCTGGCAGACAAGAACAAAAACGACAAATTTTTAACTGAATAACATTTGTTGTACATTGTTGTTGTACATTACATAGAATTAAATGAACTATCAAATTCGAATCGGTCACCATTAGCATTTGAATAGGCTCGCAAGCGTTTCGAGAACGCGTTTCGAGAACGCGTTTCGAGAGGGCGTCAAATATTTCGCGTTAAATCAAAAGGAACCAAATTTGTAGAGAAAAGGAACCAACGGATGAAAGATAAAGAAGAAGAAGAAGAAGAAGACACAATTGATGCCCACCCTCCCCAGGAAGTAGGCAAAAGAGAAAGGAATGGAGGCATGACCTGTAAGTCCTCTTGCACAGCTATCGCCTAGCTCTCGTTACACCCTCACCTTTCAAATGAAATGGAATGGCTTTCCAGGGAATAGCTGACTCCATATTCATCTCACTTTTGGAATTTTTTTTTCCTTTTGCTTTTATATTTTATTTTTTATACATGGGGGGAATGAAGTTTGTAAAGAAAGGAGACCAAATTTTATACTGCAAAAGAACAGCGAATAGAACGGAACGGACGGATTAAGACGAACTCAGACAGACAGGCGAATGTGAACTAGAACGGAGCAGACAGAAGAACAGACTTGAAAGACGAACAGATAGACGGACAGATGAGCAGATAGACGAACAGATGAGCAGACGAGGACAGATAAACAGAAGCAGATAGAACGACCAGACAGACAGACAGATGAACGAACAGAGAGGGTAGACAGACAGATGAGGAGACAGACGGAAGATAGACAGAGAGCTAGACAGGCAGACCGAGGAACCGGAGCAGACAGAACGAAAGATAGATAGACGAAGGGAGGAGACAGACAGATAGACAGACAGACAGATAGACAGATAGACAGAACGGAACGCGCTTGTCTGCGATCTG